TAACTGAAAGGTTGGTGGTTCAAGCCCACCCAGGGACGATATATACTTTTGTCCATTGATCGAAAAGTTTTGAGTGAATTGAAATTGTAGAAAGTGATGAAAACATTATGCACCCAACGTGGGGCTCGAACCCACGACCCAAGAGTCTCATGCTCTACCGACTGAGCTAGCCAGGCTGACATGCAACCTTTCATTTTTTGTCACCTACCTCTCAGTTTGAGCAACTCCAGGGACTTATGCTACACCGACTGAGCTAACCAGGCAGACCAAAAAATTAAATAAATTCATAGTTGTCTCTATGGCTCAATCGATTTATCGCGTATGGCTGTTAACTGAAAGGTTGGTGGTTCAAGCCCACCCAGGGACGATCTATGCTTTTGTCCATTGATGGAAAAGTTTTCAGTGAATTGAAATTGTAGAAAGTGATGAAAACATTATGCGCCCGACGTGGTGCTCAAACCCATGACCCTGAGATTAAGAGTCTCATGCTCTACTGACTGAGCTAGCCAGGCTGACATGCAACCTTTCAATTATTGTCACCTACCTCTCAGTTCGAGCAACTCCAGAGACTTATGCTCCACCGACTGAGCTAACCAGGCAGACCAAAAAATTAAATAATTTCATAGTTGTCTCTGTGGCGCAATCGGTTAGCGCGTTCGGCTGTTAACTGAAAGGTTGGTGGTTCAAGCCCACCTAGGGACGATTTATGCTTTTGTCCATTGATCGAAAAGTTTTGATTGAATTGAAATTGTAGAAAGTGATGAAAACATTATGCGCCCAACGTGGGGCTCGAACCCACGACCCAAGCGTCTCATGCTCTACCGACTGAGCTAGAAAGGCTGACATGCAACCTTTCAATTATTGTCACCTACCTCTCAGTTCGAGCAACTCCAGAGACTTATGCTCCACCGACTGAGCTAACCAGGCAGACAAAAAAATTAAAAAACTTCATAGTTGTCTCTGTGGCGCAATCGGTTAGCGCGTTCGGCTGTTGACTGAAAGGTTGGTGGTTCAAGCCCACCCAGGAACGATCTATGCTTTTGTCCATTGATCGAAAAGTTTTCAGTGAATTGAAATTGTAGAAAGTGATGAAAACATTATGCGCCCAACGTGGGCCTCGAACCAACGACCCAAGAGTCTCATGCTCTACCGACTGAGCTAGCCAGGCTGACATGCAACCTTTCATTTATTGTCACCTACCTCTCAGTTTGAGCAACTCCAGAGACTTATGCTCCACCGACTGAGCTAACCAGCCAGACCAAAAAATTAAATAAATTCATAGTTGTCTCTGTGGCGCAATCGGTTAGCGCGTTCGGCTGTTAACTGAAAGGTTGGTGGTTCAAGCCCACCCAGGGACGATTTATGCTTTTGTCCATTGTTCGAAAAGTTTTGAGTGAATTGAAATTGTAGAAAGTGATGAAAATATTATGCGCCCAAAGTGGGGCTCGAAACCACGACCCAAGAGTCTCATGCTCTACCGACTGAGCTAGCCAGGCTGACATGCAACCTTTCAATTATTCTCACCTACCTCTCAGTTCGAGCAACACCAGAGTCTTATGCTCCACCAACCAGGGAGAACAAAAATTTAAATACATTCATAGATGTCTCTGTGGCGCAATCGGTTAGCGCGTTCGGCTGTTAACTGAAAGGTTGGTGGTTTAAGCCCACCCAGGGAAGATCTATGCTTTTGTCCATTGATCGAAAAGTTTTGAGTGAATTTAAATTGTAGAAAGTGATGAAAGCATTATGCACCCAACGTGGGGCTCGAACCCACGACCCAAGAGTCTCATGCTCTACCGACTGAGCTAGCCAGGCTGACATGCAACCTTTCCTTTATTGTCACCTACCTCTCAGTTCGAGCAACTCCAGAGACTTATGCTCCACCGACTGAGCTAACCAGGCAGACCAAAAATTTAATGAATTCATAGTTGTCTCTGTGGCGCAAACGGTTAGCGCGTTCGGCTGTTAATTGAAAGGTTGGTGGTTCAAGCCCACCCAGGGATGATATATGCTTTTGTCCATTGATCGAAAAGTTTTGAGTGAATTGAAATTGTAGAAAGTGATGAAAACATTATGCACCCAACGTGGGTCTCGAACCCACGACCCAAGAGTCTCATGCTCTACCGACTGAGCTAGCCAGGCTCACATGCAACCTTTCATTTTTTGTCACCTACCTCTCAGTTTGAGCAACTCCAGAGACTTATGCTCCACCGACTGAGCTAACCAGGCAGACCAAAAAATTTAATAAATTCATAGTTGTCTCTGTGGCGCAATCGGTTAGTGCGTTTGGCTGTTAACTGAAAGATTGGTGGTTCAAGCCCACCCAGGGACGATATATGCTTTTGTCCATTGATCAAAAAGTTTTGAGTGAATTGAAATTGTAGAAAGTGATGAAAACAATATGCGCCCAAAGTGGGGCTCGAACCCACGACCCAAGAGTCTCATGCTCTACCGACTGAGCTAGCCAGGCTGACATGCAACCTTTCATTTATTGTCACCTACCTCTCAGTTTGAGCAACTCCAGAGACTTATGCTCCACCGACTGAGCTAACCAGGCAGACCAAAAAATTAAATAAATTCATAGTTGTCTCTGTGGCGCAATCGGTTAGCGCGTTCGGCTGTTAACTGAAAGGTTGGTGGTTCAAGCCCACCCAGGACGATCTATGCTTTTGTCCATTGATCGAAAAGTTTTGAGTGAATTGAAATTGTAGAAAGTGATGAAAATATTATGCGCCCAAAGTGGGGCTCGAAACCACGACCCAAGAGTCTCATGCTCTACTGACTGAGCTAGCCAGGCTGACATGCAACCTTTCAATTATTGTCACCTACCTCTCAGTTCGAGCAACTCCAGAGACTTATGCTCCACAGACTGAGCTAACCAGGCAGAACAAAAAATTAAATAAATTCATAGTTGTCTCTGTGGCACATACGGTTAGCGCGTTCGGCTGTTAATTGAAAGGTTGGTGGTTTAAGCCCACCCAGGGATGATCTATGCTTTTGTCCATTGATCGAAAAGTTTTGAGTGAATTGAAATTGTAGAAAGTGATAAAAACATTGTGCGCCCAACGTGAGGCTCGAACCCACGACCCTGAGATTAAGAGTCTCATGCTCTACCGACTGAGCTAGCCAGGCTGATATGCAACCTTTCATTTATTGTCACCTACCTCTAAGTTCGAGCAACTCCAGAGACTTATGCTCCACCGACTGAGCTAACCAGGCAGACCAAAAAAATAATTAAATTCATAGTTGTCTCTGTGGCGCAATCGGTTAGCGCGTTCGGCTGTTAACTAAAAAGGTTGGTGGTTCAAGCCCACCCAGGGACGATTTATGCTTTTGTCCATTGATCGAAAAGTTTTGAGTGAACTGAAATTGTAGAAAGTGATGAAAACAATATGCGCCCGACGTGGTGCTCAAACCCACGACCCTGAGATTATGAGTCTCATGCTCTACCGACTGAGCTAGCCAGGCTGACATGCAACTTTTCCTTTATTGTCACCTACCTCTCAGTTGAGCAACTCCAGAGACTTATGCTCCACCGACTGAGCTAACCAGGCAGACCAAAAAATTAAATAATTTCATAGTTGTCTCTGTGGCGCAATCGGTTAGCGCGTTCGGCTGTTAACTGAAAGGTTGGTGGTTCAAGCCCACCCAGGGACGATCTATGCTTTTGTCCATTGATCGAAAAGTTTTGAGTGAATTGAAATTGTAGAAAGTGATGAAAACATTATGCGCCCAACGTGGGGCTCGAACCCACGACCCTGAGATTAAGAGTCTCATGCTCTACCGACTGAGCTAGCCAGGCTGACATGCAACCTTTCATTTATTGTCACCTACCTCTCAGTTCGAGCAACTCCAGAGACTTATGCTCCACCGACTGAGCTAACCAGGCAGACCAAAAATTTAATGAATTCATAGTTGTCTCTGTGGCGCAAACGGTTAGCACGTTCGGCTGTTAACTGAAAGGATGGTGGTTCAAGCCCACCCAGGGACGATATATGCTTTTGTCCATTGATCGAAAAGTTTTGAGTGAATTGAAATTGCAGAAAGTGATGAAAATAATATGCGCCCAACGTGGGGCTCGAACCCACGACCCTGAGATTAAGAGTCTCATGCTCTACCGACTGAGCTAGCCAGGCTGACATGCAACCTTTCATTTATTGTCACCTACCTCTCAGTTCGAGCAACTCCAGAGACGTATGCTCCACCGACAGAGCTAACCAGGCAGACCAAAAATTAAATAAATTCATAGTTGTCTCTGTGGCGCAATCGGTTAGCGCGTTCGGCTGTTAACTGAAAGGTTGGTGGTTCAAGCCCACCCAGGGACGATTTATGCTTTTGTCCATTGATCGAAAAGTTTTGAGTGAATTGAAATTGTAGAAAGTGATGAAAACAATATGCGCCTGACGTGGTGCTCAAACCCACGACCCTGAGATTATGAGTCTCCTGCTCTCCCGACTAAGCTAGCCAGGCTGACATGCAACCTTTCATTTATTGTCACCTACCTCTCAGTTTGAGCAACTCCAGAGACTTATGCTCCACCGACTGAGCTAACCAGGCAGACCAAAAAATTTATTAAATTCATAGTTGTCTCTGTGACGCAATCGGCTAGCGCGTTCGGCTGTTAACTGAAAGGTTGGTGGTTCAAGCCCACCCAGGGACGATATATGCTTTTGTCCATTGATCGAAAAGTTTTGAGTGAATTGAAATTGTAGAAAGTGATGAAAACATTATGCGCCCAACGTGGGGCTCGAACCCATGACCAAAGAGTCTCATGCTCTACCGACTGAGCTAGCCAGGCTGACATGCAACCTTTTATTATTGTCACCTACCTCTCAGTTTGAGCAACTCCAGAGACTTATGCTCCACCGACTGAGCTAACCAGGCAGACCAAAAAATAATTAAATTCATAGTTGTCTCTGTGGCGCAATCGGTTAGCGCGTTCGGCTGTTAACTGAAAGGTTGGTGGTTCAAGCCCACCCAGGGACGATATATGCTTTTGTCCATTGATCGAAAAGTTTTGAGTGAATTGAAATTGTAGAAAGTGATGAAAACATTATGCGCCCAACGTGGGGCTCGAACCCACGACCAAAGAGTCTCATGCTCTACCGACTGAGCTAGCCAGGCTGACATGCAACCTTTCATTTATTGTCACCTACCTCTCAGTTCGAGCAACTCCAGAGACTTATGCTCCACAGACTGAGCTAACCAGGCAGACCAAAAAATTAAATAAATTCATAGTTGTCTCTGTGGCACATACGGTTAGCGCGTTCGGCTGTTAATTGAAAGGTTGGTGGTTTAAGCCCACCCAGGGAAGATCTATGCTTTTGTCCATTGATCGAAAAGTTTTGAGTGAATAGAAATTGTAGA